TATCTATAATGCTTCCCCCATCTACCGGAGGTATTAGTGACTGCTGTTGGGTGGGAAACGTCCGCAATTTTGCTCAGTGACCTCCTTTGGAGGTATGAGGTTCTTTTACGTGCCGTAAAGCTACAACACGGGACCCACGGCTTAAAGTCCCTCCCAGAGGACTTGTTCCCTGAATTTTTCCGCCCTAAAAAATTCAATGACCTCCGCTGGGTATTTGAACCCGCGTAAGTAAAAAAAAAGTCTGTGAAACAAGGTACAACATCCTACAAAACACATATAAAATAAAAAGGGTAAAACTATCCCTGTAACAGGCCGTTCAGGCCCGTAGGGTTGTGAGATGTTGAGGCTCCCACATTTTCTCTAGATAGTCGGCTCACAGATGGCAGTAAGGTTGTCAGCCTTATGTGCCGACTGCCTTTTACCCCCCCAGGAAGATTCCTGATACTTATTTCTGTTAGAGGCTGAGTCAACCCCAAGGCCATAGTGTGGCTGGAAGGATTAGGTAAATTGAAAAGAATCCACCTCATTGGGAATTGAACCCATGACCTTCCAGCTTGTAGCATAGTGCCTCAACCAACAATGCTACCACATGGCCTGCACATATAAAACATACATAGAAATAATGAATACCAACTAACAAATATAGTTGCCAGATTTATTTACAGTATAAATAAACCTGTTAACTACTTCATACCTACAGTACATAAAACTACAGTCAAATAGCCACCCATACTATGTCACATAATTACAGCACTCATCACATACATATACAGGGTTGAAGAAAGCAGTCTTCTGGGATGTGGTGCCATGTAGATATTGTGTTAACTGACGTTTTGGAGGAATGTATTGCCTCCATCTTCAGGGTAGAAGAAAATCTACAAGCTAGGAACCAGCGCGAACAGGTGCTCACAGTTTGTTCTTCTACCCTTAAGATGGAGGTGATACGTTCCTCTGAAACGTCAGTTAACACAATATCTACATGGCGCCACATCCCAGAAGACCACTTTCTTTATAGTCACCACTGTGGAAACCTCAAATCTTACATATACAGGTTTGTTTATATTTTCAGATACAAACATTTAGGAAGACATGACAAAACATAATATGGAGATCATCCCAAATGTTCTGTTTTATCAGTCAGTATTATTATTGGTCTGATATATTGGGTTTTTGGACTTTATCCATCATCCTGGTTTTTAAGATAACAAATAAAAACACGACGTTTCGGAAACAGATCCAGTTTCCGAAACGTGTTTTTATTTGTTATCTTAAAAACCAGGACGATGGATAAAGTCCAAAAACCCAATATATCAGTGTGTTATACACCATTGTCAGAATCCTATAGTAATTATTATTGGTATTTAACACTTTAGTTCTCAACTTTTAACCTGATCACATTTTAAGAATGTCAAAAATATTCAGAATTTAGAAGTTTAATATCTTTTTCACAATGTTCACTAATACAGATCTAATATTTATTTCACAATGTTCACTACTAAGGATCCATATTAATTTGGTAGTTCATTGATGCCAGTTATGTATTTATTGTAACCACCTGATGATGATCACACTGATAAAAACATGTGGTATAGACAGCAGACACAAACTCTGTCTTCATTAGCCTCTCGTGCTTTCAGAAAAGTGCATATTATGCTGGGATCAACATTTTTAATAACTTGCCATCTGATCTCAAAAATCTTATGAATGAAAAAGCACGATTTAAAATAGCACTGAAACAATACTTAAGTACACACTCATTTTACTCTCTTGATGAATACCTATTGTCTAGAAATTAACGTATGTATCTTTAAATAGCCTTGGGTTTAGTCACTGTGTATTCTTGGTTTCTCTTGTGTGAGAACTCCATTGGGACTGTACATATGTTTTGTAATTATATGATACATTCCACATCCTACAGTCATTTTGACTAACTTTGGATCCATGGAATGCAATGCAATGTTATGTTATGTTAAACAAAACAGTATTAACATATTAGTATTATTTACCTGTAAAATTTTGTGTTGAATTAAACTCCCATGCCAGTATGGACACTGTAGCAAATTACATTATCACAAATGGGTGGTGGAGTTATTTGGTAAACTTGTAATGGAGCCAGTGAATATATCTTTTGTAATAAGGCAGCCATATTGATTTTAGAATTCAGTATTAAAGTTGGATTATATTTTGGATAATGTAAGAGTTGTGATGTGATACTTTTCTGCATGAGACAGCATCATTATTGTATGACTAGAAAGGACAAAGAATCATTATTTTTCTGTAGTGAATGAAGTGTAGGAGGTGGGGTAGCTTATTTGGTGGATGACTGAGCGATCTTGATTCAATCCCCAGCAGGAGCAAGGGATTTTTTCTTCTTTGTAATATTCAGACAGACTCTGAGGCCCACACAGCCTCCCATGTAGCTGACAGCAAGGGTTATTTGCCCAGGGTAAAGTGGCAGGGGCATGAAGCTGACCACTCATCTCCATCTAGTGCCAAGGTTAAGAATAATAAAGTTATACCTTCACTCCACCATGTGTTTCCATGGCTTGGTGCTTAATTAATTAAGCCCAGGGAACAAATTTACCTCTTTTACCTTAATGAATGGAAAATTGAGGGTAATTAATGTGAGATGAAGAGGTATTTGAAATGCAGATTGTCACTTAACTATTGAATTAAGACAACAGTCCTGAAAATTAAAAACACAGTATCCAACTCTTTAATTTTTGTTATTAAAAGCACTAGCTTCTAATTTGTAGTTATGCCATTTGTTTTAAGGGATTATAGTTTGAATGTACAAGTTACATAATAATTCTAAGCTTTAGTAAAACAGGCATTTCAACTATAAGAAAATTGAAGGTACTGTAAGAGTGTCTGTGAATTTATTCATAATTAGAGACAAAAATAAAAACTGTATCTTGACAGGATGAACGGCATACAAAAAGCCAAAAAGGGCATGACATAAAGTGACATGAGGCTGTAACAGGCCATTTGAATATGAAGCAAAAAAGTAAAGTTAATTAATTAAGTACCATACAGTGAAAATTTAATTAGCTTTACTTTTTTTTGCTTTACAGTGAGAATTTGGGGGCATGCATTAGTGTAGTTGGTTGAGGCACTATGCTACAAGCCAGAAGGTCGCAGGATTGAATCTTGATGAGGTCATTGGATTTTTTCAATTTACCTAATCCTTCCAGCTGCACTATGGTCCTGGGGTTGACTCAACCTCTTAACAGAAATGAATACCAGGAATATTCTTGGGGCTAAAGAACGGCTGGCGCGTAAGGCTAACAACCTTACCATCATCTATAAGCCAATTGTCTAGAAAATACGGGAACCTCAACGTCTCACAACCCTGTGGGCCTCCACGGCCTGTTACAGGGATACCTTTACTTTTTTTTTTACAGTGAGAATTTATGAGGAGGTGGAAGTATAGCTCCACTGTTCTTAAGCTTGGCATTACTAGAAGTAAAAAAAATTGTCAGTGTGATGCACCTGCCACTTTACCCCCAGAAAACCAGTGCCCAGTGCCCATTGGATTTAAAGCTGAGTGGGACCCATAGCTGGTTACAACTCTGGAGAAGAGAAACATTTCTTGCCCTTGTAGGGATTCAGACCCTAACTCTCTGGTTGGCCAGCCTATAGCCTAGTTACTGAACTGATTGACTCATCTTGGTCTTTAATGATGAAAAGATTTAATTTGTTTTAATTTGTTGCTTCAGATAAAAAAAATAGATGGACAAACTCAAGGAGCTGAAGAAGTTGGAAATGACAGTGGGAGTGATTATTCAAGTAATGCCTCACCTTTTGACCGTGTATCTGTTTACAAACAGATGCTAGAATTAATGAAGCCTGGTGAATCCGTTGCAAAATCATTACGGAGGCTTGGTGAGTTAATTACATGATGACATTTTGTATTGTGCGTTGTATTATATTTTTTTGCACCATAAATTTTATAATTTTATGAACTAAATGGACACATGGAATTCAAGACATATTTTAATGAAGGCATTTGCCAGTTTTTGCTAGAAGTTAGGCTTGGATAAGGTTTATGACATGGCTTTAAAGTATGCTCAGAATTACTGGGTTTTCAGACTTTGTCTGAAAGGTCTGAAAACTCAGTAATTTTGAGTGTTCTCTCATATACATAATCAGCGCTAAATCATATTGTTTGTCACAGCTGTGTTAGTGGAAGCATGTAGTCATGTTAAAGTAATTGCATCACGTAAAAGAGAACTGCACATCCTCATGCCTGCATGTGCCCAGATACTTACGTGGGAGAGGGTGTAGTGTGAGTGGAAACAGTGATTCTGGTTTAGGAAAAGCACTTCTTTTAACTGAATGAGAAAACATAATAGTTCATTAACATGTTTAAAACAGGGAAATAACTTGTGAAACTGTTGTCAGCATGTTAGAAAGTGACAAGGTTCTTGTAGTACAGTCCATACAGACACATGCCACTTGAGTACTGACGTGGGGAGTGGAGCCCAGCTTACAGTCACCCCAAGCACTCAGACACCTACTGGGTCCATACATAGTACTTAGTTCCTTTTTGTATCTATCTAAATATTATTAATTGTCCAAAGACACATTAAAGAACAAACTTAACATAACATGGCATTCTGACAGTTGAGAATTGTATAGATTCTGCTAAATTGAACCTAAAAAACTATAAATAACTCCTGACTTTCAGCCTATGTTGCCATCGCTTTGCACACACAGTCCCTGTTGTTGGTAACATAATGTTACAGAGTACGTAGGTGAGTCAAATGAAAACCTTAAATATTTTTTTGAGTATTATTTATTGTGCACAAGTGGTACAAAGCTGTATCACTTTTCAACATAACCTCCCCCACACTCAATCAAGTCCTCCAGCGCTTACAAAGTGCATGAATTCCTTTAGAAAAAAATTCTTTTGGTAGTCTGCGCAGTCACTCATGCACCGCGTGGCGTACCTCTTCATCAGAACCGAACGTCTTTCCTCCCATTGCTTCTTTGAGTTGTCCAAACATATGGAAATCACTTGGGGCAAGGTCTGGTGAGTATGCCGGATGAGGAAGACACTCAAAATGCAGGTCATCGAATGTCACAACTGTTGTACGGGCAGTATGGGGCCTTGCATTGTCATGTTGCAAAAGGATACCTGTGGACAGCAATCCACGTCACTTTGATTTGATTGCAGGCCGAAGATGATTTTTTAGGAGATCTGAGTATGATGCACTGGTGACAGTGGTCCCTCTAGGCGTGTAGTGCTCCAAGATGACGCCTTTTTCGTCCCAAAAGAGAGTCAGCATAACCTTCCCTGCTGATGGCTATGTTAGAAACTTCTTCAGTTTTGGAGATGAGGAATGGCGCCATTCCTTGCTCGCTCTCTTTGTTTCCGGTTGGTGGAAGTGAACCCAGCTTTCGTCCCCAGTAACGATTCTTGCAAGGAAGTCATCACCTTCTTGTTCAAAGCGCCGCAGAAGTTCTTCACAAGCATCAGTACGTCGGTCTTCCAATTCAGGAGTCAGCTGCCGTGGCACCCATCCTGCAGACACTTTGTGAAACTGAAGCACATGGTGCACAATGTGGTGTGCTGAACCATGACTAATGTTTAAACTTGCTGCAATTTCATTCAGTGTCACTCAGCGGTTTTTCCTCACTATGGCTTTAACTGCTGCAGTGTTCTCTGGAGTCACAACTCGATGTGTCTGACCCTGACGAGGAGCATCTTCCACTGAAGTCACACCATTTGCAAACTTCCTACTCCATTTATACTCTTGCTTCTGTGACAAACATGCATCACCATACTGAAACTTCATTCTTCAATAAATTTCAATAGGTTTCACACCTTCACGACACAAAAACCGAGTAACAGAAGGCTGTTCTTCCCTGGTGCAAGTCTCAAGTGGGGCAGCCACCTTATACTGGTGCTGTGACAGTGTTCGTGCATCTGCACTATGCTGCAACCTACAGGCCATTCTGCACGCTGTTTGAAGCACACCAACTTACAGGATAATAGTGTGAAATTTCGATTTTATATTACAAATTTAAGGTTTTCATTTGACTCACCCTCGTATATGTGTGATTGTCAGTAGGGTTTGGATTGGTGAATGGATTTATTGACTGCTTATAGGTCATAACTACAAATAACTATAACACTGTTGCTATATCCACACATTACAGTTCACTAGAGCACACAAGTATACTGTTCTCAGTCTGTTACTAGACATTTCCTGGTAATGGCTCCAAAAATGGCTCTTCCTCTGCCCCTGGACTCAGGTCCTCTCTTCACAACCTCCCGTCCAGAACTCAAGTTCAACCATCAACTGACATTGTCCATTGCTTATACAAGTAACATCTCGGCATGGACCACATAGGAAACACAGCTCTTCTATTGCTATAGTCCCACTGTTGCATTATTAAGGATCTGCTGCCAAGCAGTGGGAACCTGTTTACTGAACCGTTGCTCACAAATAGCCCTTGTGTATCCGCTCATCTCCTGGTCATTGTGTAGCAACAACTGTACTTGTTACAGTAACAGTACATTAGGATGAAACTGGGATTATTATGATTAATTAGGTTATGAATGTTATTCCACAGTCCACAATCATTTTCTGTCATACAGGATGTAGCGTTTGTGTTTGATACATTTATTGTCACTGTACAAGTTTCTGAACAGTGTAAATACTGTGTACAGCACACTGATGAAACCACAAGGACCAGAGAATATGTGAAGTAGAAGTAAAGTTGTCCCTGTGCTTAACTAATTAAGCACTACACAGTGAAGGCATATGGAGGAGTGGATGTATAGAGCCACATTTTCTTGACCTTGTCACTACTTGGAGGTAGGCGGTCAGCTCATGCCCCGACCGCTTTACCCTCAGGGAAAGAGCTCCTAGTACCCATTGAATAGGAGGCTGAGTTGGTCCCTGAGCCAGTCTGGATGACATGGAGAAGAGCAAATGCTTGACCCTATTGGGACTTGAACTCCAACCCCTCGGTTGTCCAGTCCATAGCCAGTCGCTATACCAGCTATGCTGTCCTGGCTCCCAGAGAATATGTACTTCAAAATCACATCTTGCAGATGAGTGATATAAGAGGTGCATTCCCAACATGACATAAACCTGTTGTCTCTTTCTCCTAACAGTGTCTCTTGATTATTAGCACTGACGGCTTCACTGATGTTCAGTTTCAATTCTTTGACACATCCAGAGCATATTTTGTAAATCCCCACACTAAGAAGTCTGCCAAGGAAAGATCTGGAGAGTGAGGTGGCTAGGGAATGGGACAAAACTGAGAGATGACTCTGTCTCCAGACTGTTGGCTCAGAAACTGCAGTATATTTCTTGCGATGTTGCACATGGTGCCATCCTACTGAAACTGTATGTCTTTCAACACAATGTTCTTCCACCAAATAAGTTGATTTCAGACTTGTATTTGGGAGGTGTTCAGTTTGAATCTTGACCATGTCACCAGCTATCCCAAAAGGTTTTTCATGCCAGGATTGTGCCTAATTAGGCCACAACTGTTGCCTTCCAAATCCAATTTGTCATTCATCAGCAATCTTACTGTCTGCTGCTCTGTACTCTCAATCCTGAAAGTGTCAAAAGAAAGTGTTCTTTCTGTGAAGTTTGAGAAGGAAAAAGTGTTGCAGCGTGTGGGAGCAGTGTTCAGATTTGATGGTTACCGTCCAGTTGACCTCCTTGAAAAAGTTCGGACTAATGATAAATCCAGTTGCAATAGCACACCAGAAAATCACTTTCAGGGGGTGGAATCCTTTTGACAGCACACACCCAGCTCCAGATCATTAGCTACCACAAATCATAGTTAGAATTTAATTAATAAAGAAAATTTAAACCTTCTGCTTGGCTATATCTGGTCTATATCTGTTGCCTCGCAGCTTGGAAGAGTCCATACGTCTGGGCTGTGACATATGATAGAATGCTCCCTTCTGCATAAAATTACCTAGTGAAGGACAGGATGTTCTGAGAGGGAATACTTCTGCTTGGAAATTTTCATCAGAATGAGTACTGCATTACAGTAATGGAACCAGTTTGAATGTGAAACATCAGTGTAATTCTCTCTCCATCCACCTCCACTTCCACACATGTTTTCATGATGTGACAACACTGCTTTTACCTTTACTGCCTACAAGGAGTACAGACATATAAGATATACGTTCTACACCATGAACAATAATTGATCAAGGCCTTCTTGCTTGAAATAATTCATCTTGCTTATGGTGGCCCCATTGCTTCTTGTCTACAGTTATTGTAGTTTGGAGTAAGAATGCCACCAGAAAGAAAAAATGGTTAGCAGAAAAGCTCTGGCATACAGTTATGCTGAGTTACCTGTCATATCCTACATTATGTTATGGTGCTCTAAATATGAAATGAATCGTGATTGTGAACTACATGTTTGCCAGCTGTGTTATAGAAGTAAGTGATCAGTGTTTGTGAAGTTACATGAATGTTATTGCAGCGAATCTTCCAACCTTCGTACTTTCCACCTGGCTTCCTCATTTTATAAGGAAAGATAAGCTTAGGATATATCATCTCCCTGTATCTGACCCCTGTTAACTTCTGGACCAACTGAGTGATGTTCCTGAAGTGAGATTGGAACCTCTTGCTACTAGAAGCCATTCTACGTTTGTATTTTCTGATTTTTAATCATCGTTAATACCAAACCAGTGACCGTCCATGATGAACACCTTGGTGTAATGGTAATACTCTATAGACTTTTGCTCTAGAAGTGGCCGGTTGGAACCTTGGTCAGGACACTGGATGTCCTGAATGATGTTTCTCAAGGTTTTCTTCTGTCCTCTGAAGTGAATACTGGGATAATATCTGAATTAGGCCATGACCACTTCCTTCTAAATCCGTTCCAGTTCATTATACACCAGTCATCCTACCATCCAATGCTGTCTAGTGCAGATGCTGACAGCACTATAAAATCAATCACAAAAGGAGTAGCTTTGCAGACATGCAGGATGAGAGTGATGCTTGAGGATCCTGAAGTAGATCTCTGAAAACTGTGCTGTCTCCATGTTATTTGCAGACGATGGGGCAGCACATTCTTCCAGAACATCAGTATACATCTGGTTACATGGCCTAACATCTCAGAAAATGGACTGTTGAACATATTACAAACACTCATAGCATTACGAATGTTGTAGGACCTCCTGGTCTCCAGTGAGGACAAGACAAGACTAACATGCCAGGTGAAAACATGACTTAATTTTCTGAGGACTTACTGTTGCTTTTGGTAGACTGAAGCTTAGTATGCCCCTGAATGAACAATAGAAAGGTCAGAGTTCATCAATTTTACATCACCATCCATCTCTTCTTCCCTTTGTTGGTGGACAATACATCATATCATTCATCAGCACCATGTAATACACTAATCCTGTGATGATCTTGTCTAATATTTGTTGACTGCTTTGCAAACTCATAATAATATGTCTCATTCCACATGATGGCTCAAAGCCAGACTACCAGGCCCAGAAAAGACATCCATTGCTAGACGATGGTCAGTGAACATGTTCCCACAGCAATCAAAACATGCTACCATGTCAGTAATGCCCTAGCCATCATCAGGCAACAGCCTGCTTAACACCTCACTCAGAAATGGAGGAACTCTTGGAAATTTTCCAAGGTTCACACTGGTCTTGATTTGCACATGGGTTTCAGCCTTTTGTAGGTATACGATTATGTAACAGAATTGTGCAGGTAAAAAGTAGAAGTCATACAAAATCATGAGAAGAGCATATTCGCAGTATAGGACAAGATGAAGCCAGACATAGAAAATATAAGAGGCTTAAACTTGGCAGCAGTCAAACTTATGACTGTTCAAGTGACTTAGTTGCTGTTGTAGCGTAAGTAAGATAGACGTGGATAACTCAGGTAACTGGAATTAAGTAATGACATCTCTGTAACTTAATGATTATGTCATCAGATCTGTATTTGTGAAAACAGAAGGACATCACATGAACGTTCGTTTCTGTTAAGGTAAGAAAAGTCTTGAAAGGTGCATCCTACTTCTTGCACCTGTCTCATCCACCTCATTGAATTTTATGCATGGGGCACAAATAATTGTTCTGCCCTTCTTCTCTCTGATTTCTGTAACAAGTGTTATGAATTAAAAATTTGTTTAACAGGAGGCAACAAACGTATTTCTGCATCAGAGCGTTGGCGGAGGAAGAAAGCTGGACAAGAAGACAGCAAACAAGGCAATCAGCAGCAAGTTATAGAACTGACAGAACTAGCAAACCGTCTCCTTACCAAGACTGGTAACATGGATATTTACCAGGAAAGCTATGAACATATTGCCAGTTTGGTAGGTATTGTAACGTTTTATCTTGTTTTGTAAGTGTTATTTCCAGTAACCATGTGTGATCATGGCATTAATTTGATCTTGTTCATTACTGTGTCACTGTATGCCATTGTGCTGTTCTCTTCGAACATCTTGGTCACCACAGGCTGCACTCTACTTCCTAATTAACGTTTCATAGCATGCATTGTTTCTTCACACAAATGCAGGACATTGCTTCTGGGTTCACAGTCACACTCATCTCAACTGATGAACTTTTATCCAGGTGAAGTCGTTATCAAACCTTGCAGATCTTGGACACTGTTGGTCTCCTTAGTTTCAAGTGTTTGTGTGCGTTTTTTTTTTGTGCTACAGTTTTCTCAGGCGATCAGTCATGTTGGTGTTGAACTGAAAACCAGCCTTTTAGAGATATCTCCCCAGTCTCCATCGTTGGGGTTATGAGGTGAATGACTTTATGTCACTGATATTTATACCGGTTTGTCACATCAGCACTGTTTCCTATTGGTGTATTATGTGGTAGGATGGTGGAGTCAAACTATGGAGTTACCCATCTAATTCTTACCTCTCACCATGTTGCTTAACCTGGTGCCTCTGTTAGCCTATTTTGTTTTCTTTTTTTCATGCTCTTCTCTGTGTCTTCTTGGGATTCTCATGATGCATGTGTGTTGTAGTGCCTTAATAAAATGGTGCTGGAATTCCATGCTTTGCTGATTTTGAAATCTTCCTATCTGTATATATTGTCAGGATGTAATTTTTTTCAATTTCACATTTAACAAGCTGGCCCATATAGCCTGATGTACTGGCTAGTATTTCAGTCCCATGACCCTTGATTTAGTGGCCTGATTTATTCACCACGTTGACCTTGTTAATGGAAACTAATGAGATCTTTGAAATGTTGGTTTTTAGTTCAACATTGACATGGCTGATTGTCTGAGAAAATTTTGGCACATTTATTTGCCATGAAAGCTTCAAATCTTATCTTTCTCTCTCTCTCTACTACTTCTGTTTGAAGCATTTTTCACGATGATAAATATTTAATGAATTTGATTTGTTTCATTCTGGTCCGTCACACTAACAATTACAAATATAAATCACTCCGTCCAATGTGACCTGTAAGTTTTTTACTACATGAAAACTTAACACCCTTACATGTTTCGGTCTCTGTGGACCATCTTCAGAGGGCAAACATCACTACAAATAGGAAACCATCACATAAGTTGTTTAGACGTAAAGTACGTACACTTATATGCTACAATACATAGTACACAAAATAGACATTTCACATTTCACAAACACAGCAGTTTCCTGGGAATGTAAAGTTTTTTATAAAATTGTATAAAATTTCTTGATGCTAATTAAAAATTTTTTGGATTGTCAATAATTAAAATTCGTAAACCATGCAGGCTCGTGTTTGTCCTCCCATCGTCCCTCTTATATGGGGCAGATAATGTGCCACCTGGCTATCTTGATGTAGAGGTTCTTTATATCGTCCAGGCTTTGCTCGTGGCTGCTGTGTTGTTTTCACTGTTCAGAACTTTCTGAACAGGTCTGATGAGGTCATTGGATTTTTCAATTCACCTTACCCTTCCAGCCGCACTATGGGCCTGAGGTCGAGACTCAGCCTCTAACAGAAATGAGTTCCAGGACTCTTCCTGGGGCGTAAGGGCAGCTGGCGTGTAATGCTGACAACCTGACCGCTATCCATGAGCTGATTGTTTAGAAAACATGGGAGCCTCAATTACCCACAACCTGTGGGCCATCACAGCCTGTTAGAGGGATAGCTTTACCTCTTTTTTTTCTATCTTTCTACTACATAATTGGCTGAGCTGCTTAAATGAATTATAAATAAGTACTGATTTTAAACTTTTTAAATGAACAAAGCACTTCTAGCTCAAGATAGCTAATTAGTTCAGTCAAATAATATTATTCATTTGGTTATGTTACTAGCATAAGGTTTCTGTAATGAAAGGTGCATAGGAACAATTGAAAAGCACACCTGCCATTTATGTTCTGCTCACATAATGAAAAGGTGGCACTTCTTTGCTTTATTGATATTATACAGGTGAAAACAGTACATGTGTATATATATATATATGTATATATTTTAATAAAGTTTTAATGTAATTATACAAGTTTCTGTTATGTGTTACTGCAGAAAAGGCAAGGTCAAATTTGGGAACTTCTGTTGATGGTGGTTGTGTAACAAAATGACTGTGAAGAAATTATTATTGACACTTCCAGAGATCAAGAGGCCTTTTGTAGAGAAATTTGATGTACATACCTAGCAAATATTATCATACTGATTCAGATATTGCATGCCCCACAGTAAATATTTGCCCTTGTGTAAGAGAACAGGAATTGAATAATGTATGGTGTGGACGACTTGTTTTTTTTATTGCAGTATCCGTTATTCTGTCAAACTCATAATTATAACTACAGTTACCCTAGACCAGTGGTTCTCAACCTTTATGAGACGGCGGCGCAGTAAGTTTTCTTTTTATAAGATGAGGGCCCAGTCCCAACAAATTTACTCGTAAATACCTTTCCAGTTTTGTTAAAGTTCATGCATTAAGCTAACATAATATTAGTAGTTAATTATAGCATAATCATAAAGAGTATTAGTACACTTATGTATTTGGTGTGGCATGTTGACAAGCATAAAATTACATTTGAATTAGTTATCAATCACTGGACTAATGAAATCTTGTAGCATTTTGTAGTTTCCTCAGACCAACATCATTAAATTAATTTGTGCTAATTTTCATTGACATATCCCATGCTGATCACCAAAAACTTATGTTATTCAGTGTAAAATTGATTATTCTATTATTAAATTTATTTTAATGATGTTAGTCTGAAAAAAATGGCAGTGAGAAAAATATTTATGCATTGTAACTCACCATAGAAGTCAGCTGAATAGGGGAAGAAGCAGAAGAATGTATGAATCTCTCAATTCTAAACACTACTTCCAACACTAATTAATATTTTGATTTTAAAGACGCAGCACTATAACACAGCAATTATAAGTTATTGGAAAGTTAAACTTAGTTTCTTTTATCACAACTGAGTTTGGANAATTGCCCGCCATATCCTTCATTTTAGTGACCAAACCTGAATTTCTTCATGTAAGACAGGCAGCGCCGTCAGTGCAAACTGCAACGCAATTTTTCCATTCAAGACCTCTCTCTTCAATGAAACCATTTAAAACTTTGAAAATTTCACAGCTGGTAGTGTGCGTAGGTAATTCAGAAACACTTAAAATGTCTTCCTTCATGTCACTCATCATGGTCAATATATTGTACATACGTAAGTACAATGCTGCTGTTCTGAATATCTGTAGATTCGTCCAGTTGTAATGCAAAGAATTTAGATTTTTTAATTTTTTCAGTGACTTGCGTTTCTGTATCTTCTGCCATATCAGATATCCGCCTACCAGCTGTATCATTCGACAATGAGATGTCTTTCATTTTAGTTGCCGCAGACTGGCCTAATACTTCATTACAAGCAGCTATCAAAGAAGGCTTAATGAGTTCTTGCCCAGTGGAATATGGTTTTTCACATTTAGCTATCTGTAGTGATATGACATAATGGCAAGCAATGCAATAGGTTAGTGTAAATGGAGCACCTGATGATGGCACTATGTTGCCGAAACATGTTGTGAAATAACAGGTGAAATTGAGTGCACTACAAGATGGACACTGCATACATATCATGGATATTAAATAGAATGCCATCAGAAGTGAAGTGTCAGCGGTTGAAGCTTGGTAAATAATTTTCTTTTCTACTTTAAGTGCATCTCTTTTACACATAAAGAATTCCATGGGTTTGTTGACTAGATCGGAATGTCTTGTGATGAGATGTCGGGTAAGTTGCAGTGGCTTTATAGCTTCATTTCCCAGAATAGTAGCACAAATGTCACATTGAGGTTGTGGCAATTGGTCAGTGTTAGGACATTGTATTAAACCAAATTTTAAGTAGCTGTCCATGTACTTACGAATGGATGCAGACTTTTTCTTCTGTGTGCTGGTGGTTTTCCCTTCATTTTGTACATCCTGGATATCGCTGTGTAGGCTTGAGGTGGATGAATCACTACTTGTTGCTTCACAAACACCTTCAATACTAGATTTCTTAGCACCAAAATTAAACAAAGTCCCCTGCCTCTTATTCATATTAAATTTAAATCACTCAGATTTCAAAACAAGCACTTACACACTGCAATGCGAACTTGCAAAGAATCAGTATTCAGTATTACTGGATTTGAGAACTGGATACAGACTGCCTTGATCTTCAGTTTCAGTGGAAACATTTTCTTTATACTTCCTTGCTTATTGGTCACTGACATTTGCAACACAGATGTTATTTCGCTCAGTTCTGAGAACAGAGGATATTCCGCCCATTGTAATCAGCTTGCAGGCAATTTTTATGACTGGTCATAAACATCGGTATTGCCTTTCCCGAATGTAGAAAGATTTGGATGTCTGAAAATTCCCGATCATTCATGAATACTTCCATGTTTAAAAATCTGCAGCTTGGTCACTGACATTTGCTACACAGATTTAGGTGTTCTGTGTCTGAGCTTCTTGACAAATATTATTCTCCTCAGAATATTTCCACTATAAAATATTTATTCATGTAAAATGCTTAGAAAATGAAAATGACAAATTCCAGAAGAGCCTCTCGTGGCCCAGTATAATTGATGCCAGGGCCAACTACTGGGCCGCTGCTTGGCGGTTGAGAAGCACTGCCCTAGACTGTTTGTTTTACTTTGAAATGAGGCTCCTTACTTTTAAATGTGTGAATCACTTGCTTTGTGAGTAATTCATTTTATTTGTTAGCTTTAGGTATGAAGAAAGAAATATTTAAATTTCTTATCTATTTTCTTTTGAAAGTGTGTGCTTTATTAGCTCTTCACATCCCCAGCAAGAACATAAATGCCAATAAATATGCCTATATCCATGTTAGTAAAATTTGTGGTTGCTTTTTCAGCATTTGTGAAAAAGAAGTCCGAAGAGTTTTATTGCCTTCTCCTGTTATTGAATAACTGTATGATTTCAACATCTGTTTATAGATCAGTAATGCAGAGAAACAAAATGTATGGAAACAATCCAGGCCAACATTGGATTATGAGGATGCATTAGACATGTATGCAGTTGATTTTGATGAGAAGGAGAAAGCAAGAATGGAGCAGCAAGCAAAGAAAAAGAACAAGGGAGAAGAGGCAGTTGGTGTAAGCTGTATGGAAAGTGGAAAACAAGAAACAGGAGGAGCAACAGGGAATGGAATTGTGAAAATGCTGACAAGCAGTAGCCAAGAAGAGAATCAAGGTAATGTTTTTGCAGTGCCATTATACTGTGTTTGAACTGATAAAGGGCACACTTTCATCATGTCTCGTGGCATTAATTTACATCATATAACACTTCGCAAGTGACGTCATTTGTTTTACTTGAATATAAGGGTATGAAAACTGAGCCAATATAATTTATACACTTAAAAAGTTTGTTTCTTAACAGATGTTGAATGCAGCTAGTTCAGTTGTTTTGACCTATAGTTTTTTTTTTCAATAAATACAATTTGAAACTGAGGCAGATGAAATGTAGTATTATGTCTGAATCTTCTTTTATCAGATCCTACCGAGTAAGTTAGCTCAATTTGTAATACTTTTGACTGGCTCTGAAGAGGTGCCCAGTTTGGGCCTCAGCTCGGGGTTTTGGCTATCATGATTGAGGTTCTTTGTTTTATTCAGTCCATGCAGGTAAATGTTAGGGTAGCACCCTTGAATCGACAGGAAGTTGGAGAAAACTGCATAATGAGGAGCTTCATACCTTGTACTCTTCTCCAAGTATAATTAGAATGATCAGGTTAAGGACGATGAGATGAGCAGGGAATGGGGGAGAGGAGGAATGTATATAGCATATTGGTAGGAAAGTCAGAAAGAAAGAGACCACTGGGAAGACCAAGGTGGGTTTACAATATTAAAATTGATCTTGGAGAGATAGGATGGAATGGTATGGATTGGATTGATCTGGCTCAGGATAAGGACCAGTGGAGGGCTCTTTTGAACACGGTAAGGAACCTTCGGGTTCCATAAAATGCCGGAAAATTCTTGAGTAGCTGCAGGATTGGCAGCTCCTCAAGAAGGGCTCAGCTGCATAAGTAAATAAGTAAGCACCTTAAACCAGGTGATGATTCCCACCTTCCACATTCTTCCTGATTAAATATTCACTTGACACTATATATTTTGAGTTACAGGCAATGTCATTACATAAGCTGCACATATAACCAGTTATAATACCCCACAGTTAACAGTTAATAGATCTCCATGACAGAAAAGTTATTTGTGTAACGAAGTGGAAACTTTGGTAGGTCTTTATAAACTGTTTAGAAACTACAAATATTGTGTTTCTGAACATTATCCATTTATTTAAAACGCCACTTTTCACGGACTGAATTTTGTCTCTGTCTTCAGGTGGAACCTACTCAGTTGCGTCCACTTGATACAGTTAGTCCCTATCTCCACACACTTGCACCAACACAAGACAGGGTATATAAACCAAGCAAAGCACAAACCTGCAAAAGTTAAGACAAATGTTGAAAACATTATGAAACTCCTTATCAATTGGGCCACCTGAAGACGGAAACATGAGAATCCAGTCTTCGAAACGTATTTTAAGTAAAATCTTAGTAATGGATAATGTCCAGAAACACAGCGTGTGTAGTAATATACCGTGATCATAGACTTTTAGATATTATTTAGAAACCGACAGTTTTCAATCAAAGACACCATATTTCCTCCTCTTTGTAAGGGTCTCAGGTATGTACATAATTACGTCATATTGTCATCCATTGGAGTGCCTAGGGTTCGTTTTTTGAGGCTTTGGATTTCTGGAACCAGTTTATTTTTTCAGGAATTTGATAGGATTAGAATTATCCTAGTTTTAAGAGGCATGTTCAAGAAATATGTGTATATGAACTTCCATTTTGGTAAATTGTTTCCATAGCTTTGATTTACTATTAGGCGGTTATGCAGTGCTGTAGCAGTAAATAATATAACATTAATCAGCTGGAGTATACATTTATAAGATTGTTATAATTGAGCAATATAAATACACATTGTGGGCACTTTTTGTAAATTTTGCATCTCTCAGAAAGCAGGTAATAGGACGCTAATCAGTGGGAATATACAAGGTCTACCAAAAGGAATACACAGATTTGAGGTACCTGTAACCTAAGGACAAAAACAGATATGAGGGCGATGTTTGCAGTATTTTATTCATCATTTGAAACAGTTGTTAACACACAAATGGAAAAGTTGTTGGATTTGAAACACTGGGCAATGAGTGCTATTTGTAGCTCTGTATACATCCCACCAGTAGTTCACCTCTTGCTAGAGGCGCTGTAAACATGTCCATTGTAACATCAGCAATTGTTGCAGTGATCCATGCTTTGAGTTCATCCAGTATATTCACTCTTTTAACTGTACACTTGGTGGTCTTTCACTTAGCCCCAAAGAAGAAAGTCTAAAGGTATAAGATCAAGAAAACAAAAGAAGCCTTGCAATTGGTCCACCTTTTCCTATCCATTGACCTGGGAAATTCACAGTGTGAGCAAAATGAAAATATGCACCTTCCAGTTGAAGAATAAGATTATTGTTATGTAAGATTTGAGGTTTTTACGGTGGTGACTGTGAAGAAAGCAGTCTTCTGGGATGTGGCGCCACGTAGATATTATGTTAACTGCTTTTTGGAGGAATGTATTGCCTCCATCTTTAGGGTAGAAGAAAAAAGAATGAGCAAGGAACTGGTGTGAGCAGGTGCTAACAGACAGTCTGTTGGCACCTGCTCATGCTGGTCCATTGCTTGTGGATTTTCTTCTTTTTTCTTCTACCCCGAAGATGGAGGTGATACGTTCCTCTGAAACATCAGTTAATACAATATCTACATGATGCCACATCCCAGAAGACTCCTTTTTTCAAGTTTATTGTTATTGTTGATGTTGTTAAACTGTGGAAGGGCCTAGTTCACCAACATGTGTAGGAATAAATTACATGGCAGTCATGTTATCAGAAAAAAAAGAACCGGCTGATGACTGTTTCCTGTGTCAGTGCTCACCACACATTCAATTTAGGACAATCTTGTTCATGTTCTGAATGTTCTGTGGGAGGCACACTGACCCAAATGACAGCTGTGGCATGTCCAGAGATGTGAAATTCAGCATCAGTAGTGAAGACATTATGATTTAAGAAATTATTGTGTTCCACAATTTGTATGTGCCTATATGCCACAGACTATGATCTGACTTGTTTATCATGTGTAAGAGTCTGGACTTTTTCCTTAGGGGGGGGGGGTGGAGTCCAATTGGGTCCACTCGGCATGGCGGCCCCTGATTGGCCTATCGTAGCCTGCCCCGGCTGATTATGATGATGGAGAATTTGGTGGAATGAAGATTGGCAGGGGAAACTGAAGTTCTCGGAGAAAACCCACCCCAGCGCCACGTTGTCCACCACACATCCCTCTTGACCAGACCCAGGATCGAACCCGGGCCACCACGCGGGGAAGCCAGTGACTAACCGCTTGAGCTATTGTGTGGTCAAGTCTGGACTTACTATAGTTTGTATGGTCTTAAATCTAGGCTTTTCCAAACAATACCATGAACAGTTGTTTGCAGCATCTGTAGCTCTGTATTTGCTCAGGAGGTGGACTTTTTTGGACAGTGTACAAAAGCCTGCCTAACACAATTTGCATCTTTATCAGATCTCGTAGACCACCTAGTGGAACTTTTTATACTGCTGCCTCTCTAAATTGCTTGTATCATCTCCTGATGCCCTTGTCATCAGATGGTCTCACACCATACTCATGTCTAATTTCACACTGAATACAGTTAATGGATTCAAATTTTATGTACCACAACCTGATCTGTGGTTTCTGCTGTACGGTAGACATTGCACTGATCATGCAGAACACAATCACAGCTGCTGTCTGTTAAGTGCAGTTGGGATATATGCACAGCTTAAGTCAGTAAAGCTGTTCGAGTTTACAGTTACGCTGCAAGCACCAACATCATCATGTCTATTTTCATTCCTGAGTTGCAAGTGTTTGAAATTCTAACATTCTTTTTGGTAGACCCTGTATATGGTATCCATAAAAGTGTTGTAATAAATAAGCAATTTCCTTATTTCAGAACACTTTATTTTGATTTGTCATTTGATGCTGCATATCCTGTGTGCATGGTAAACCATTGTAATGAGTAACAAGAAGGTTTGATAATAAGTAAGGAATGATTGTAAGTAGGCACATAAAGTTTGGTATGGTTGTAAATTTACCAGACTTTGTAGGGTGTTAACTTATCGCTTTCTGAAAATTAACACTGAGATGACTGATGAAACAAAAGCTTTAATTTTAATCCTTTCATTACCAACTTATTCAGACTCAAACTAAGTAAGTAACAGAGTTCTGTTTGAGAAGCTGATGGTTGCTCTGCCTTTCAAGAAATTCCTTGCATTGTATGGAACCCATGTGGTTCATACTGTATTCAAAATATGTTGCCATTGATCCTGCTGAATCCGGTCCACATCCTGCTGCATAGAATGTGAGGATGTGGATTGGACTAAATACACATTCATTCTACTCTGTTGATGAATACCTATTGTCTAGAAAATAACTTATGTATCTTTAAATAGCCTTGTGTGTAGTCACTGTGTATTCTTGGTTTCTCTTGTGTGAGAACTCCATTGGGACTGTACATATGTTTTATATTTCTATGACATATTCCACCTCCTACAGTAGTTTTGACTAACTCTGGATCCATGGAATGCAATGCAATGTAATGTAATGTAAAAAAGAAATGTAATATACCTTTTAATGTTTTCCTTCCATCTGTGCTTAAATCTCTCAGTTGGTCCTTTCCCTTCATATTTCCACCAAAGACTATGAGAAAGTACTAGGCAATTTCTTTTAATCTTCATGTTTCCGAAGATTAAAATTGTCGCGTATTGGGCGTATATCGCGACAAATAACTTCACGCCGTATTTTATATAGCGAATTTTATTTCACATTCGCACTTACAATCACCCAAATTACAGATTTACGATTACTGCTATCTGCAGTATCACAAATAGTACACTCCAAATGCCAGAATACAACTGACTAGTTGCTGGCTAACTTGGACTCACTCGGCGGTAGCTCCAGGACTGACTGACTGACTGTGAATAGCCTTCGCTGCTCCTTATGTAGCCTTGATCGGACAATTGTCGTCTGGTCCGTGTTGCTAGCCACGCTGTCCGGAGTTGTTGACTGCTGCCTAGCAACCGCGATATCCCTCGGTGACGTCACCGCTGTTGATTCGCTTTGCATAGCTTCAAGGTCGCGGGGACTCGGCTAACGTCGGCTCCGCTCGGCTCACTTCGGCTCCGCTCGTGACGTCACCGCGCGTTGCGCGTTGCATAGCTACCAGGATGCGGGGTGATTACTCGCCTATTACGCGAGCGCTACGTTACCGCTACGTGCAGCTGGGGGGGTAGGGGTCAACATGTCACACTATTGAGGTATACACACAAGCAGATGTATTTCCCACAACTGTCAATTAGAGTTTTAATTTTTTGGGGATTAATGTAACAAAATCTGATAAGAATTTTTGTATGTCATTCTAATCAGTGAATATAGGGACTATCTTCCATATTTTCCTGACTGCATGATGAAAATGCTCTATGGATAGCAACATTTGTTAGGTCTTCTAGGCAGTATGTTTTGCTGCTGGATGACAGTGTAAACGTTGAAATTGTGAGTGATTTCTATAAGTGTTTTGTACATATTTCTAATCCTAAAATATCCTTTTCAGTCCACTGCATTGAAGACCTGATATTGATTTTATTTTGACAGAAGTCATGTGGGAATTTAAGTGGGAAGAGAAGAGTACAGATATTCATGGTCCACATACAACATCCCAGATGCAGGCCTGGGTGGATCAAGGCTACTTCAGCAAGTCTGTTCTTGTGCGTAAATGTGGTACAGATGGTCAGTTCTACAACTCCTCAAGAGTAGATTTCGAATTGTACTTGTAGACATTTTTTATACCATTTTCCTTGTAAGTAGCTTGGGTTTGTGTATGAACACCGTTTGAATTTCAGTGTACCTTTCTTTGAGATTTGTTTCTTTACCAAGGAACAAAGAAATTTTTACTGTTTTCACTGTTAAAGGCATTGGTTTCAGAAGTATCATTATGCTGAATAATCTTTATTTACTGTAAAAATTTGGAGTTAGTTTCATTGTTAACAGAAATACAAAGTGTTTGAGCAGGGCAGGATTTAAGGGGGCATGGCCAAGATAGTCACCTGGAGGCCTCCAAAAAGCAGAAATGGAATTCACACATTTTATTGAGACATTTGCACATCTAAAATGATAAGAAGTTTCTTTTTTAATTCACTTAGTGGGGGCTGGAGTCCAACTGGGTCCACTCGGCACAACAGCCACTGATTGGCGTATTGTAGCCTGCCCTGGGTGATTATGATGATGGAGAATTTGGTGGAATGAAGATTGGCAAGGGAAACTGAAGTACTCGGGGAAATCCTGCCACTTTGTCCACCACACATCCCACTTGACCAGACCCGGGATCGAACCTGGGCCGCCACGATGGGAAGCAAGCGACTAACCACTTGAGCTATGGCACAGCCCCTGATAAGAAGTTAATTTCATTTTTAGGAGGAATGTCCCCCCACAAATAAAAATCGAAAACTCATAACCTAAAGTTGTTGTTACTGTTAGGAGACTCCACAGCTGTAAATCCAGCCCTGTGTTTGAGGAAGATTGAATAAAGCTAGGTGCAGTTTTTATCTTATGGGAGAGGAACTCTGAAAATTTTATTTATACTGTTTATTGTACCAAGCTTGCATGGACATGCACATATACCAGATTAGGTGACATCAGAGAGGTTGTGGAAGCCAGTCAGCAATTTGTCTGAGAGGCAGCTTGTTAATTGTGGATGGCAGAAATGGCATTAATTGACAAGTGATCATTGAAAGTTCAGAATGTTTTTGCCGCTGTCACATCAACTGCCAACTGGAATTGCATGATCTTTCTGAAGATCACACAGCTGTGGTGTGCACATTATGTGTGCTCAGTATAACACACACCATAATTACAATTTTAAGAGTTTTTCATTTACATGTTTAAAACTGCAGTCTCATTGCTCTGTTGACTTTCATGGTAACAATTTTTTAATACACTCTCTTGTCTTCAGACACATCTGCGAAACTGCATACTGTGGAAGTTTATATTTCATCCTGTCATACATATGTTGATGCTATCAAGGCTGAATTTCATAAATGTATGGCATGTTTTGCCCTTGATGCAATATTATTTCTGAAATTTCTTGTCATTATTTTAAATTCTTCAAAGAAATTTCCCATTGGTAGATGTACAGGAAATATTTTCATGTTAAATTGTTTTACAGTAAGGTATAACAGCATCCTTCTTTGATCTTGCATTTTTACAAGAAATGTTCAACTTGAGTTTTCACATTCTTGACACTTTTACCATGTACAGTTTATGATGCTTTTCTTAGGTCCAGTGTTGTCTCTGAACATTCATGTTACATGCAAGACCTCAAATATCATTGTGGGGTGATCGTGATAATTGATGTGTGCTGCTGTTGGCATGTGGATTGATGAATAGTTTACCCACACATTCTGCCTATAAATTTCATAAATTGATGTTATTGGTGTAAGCGTTGTTCTTTACATTACCTTTTACAGATACACACCTATTTGTTCTGTTGGTGTCAGACTGTACATAGCCCATCCAAAAGTGTAATGATAATTCTATTATTGTACTGATGTACCTGTGCAGACATGGTGTGACTGTGACTTGTGAGCCACATGCTTCCCTTTTGAAAAATTGATACAGCTCATGGTATAGAATATCAGTCATTCCCTTTGTACAAATGGATTAAATAAAGATAGGAAATCTGATGCATAGATAGTATGTACCTAGACACTTATGCCATCCAATCCACATCTGTTTTTGCTGCTCATGAACCTCTGAAAATTATTATATGTTGCTTCACTCTTCAGTAAGTTTGGACATCCCTGTAATAGTGAAAGGAAATATAGGGTAAGATGCTGGTCACCAACTGGGTTCCAAACTGGCGAGTCAAGTGTTTTTTGTGGGGGGGGGACATATATTTCTCACCTATCACCTCTGAGAAAGACAGAACACTTCGAATATGGATAATTCCAGGCACACATCATGGTCAGCTGTGGGTCCCTTTCATTAGCCATAATTTTCACTGCCAAATGGATTGCTGCCTCCTGGGAAGTGGTTTTGTTCAGCATCAATATTGATTGGTCAGATGCTAAAGACTAAGATGAGAGGAATGCAATGGTTTAGTTATGTTGTAGTTTGTACATAAATGTTGTGGTAGTTATGTAATTCAATTCATATTGCTCCATTATCTGAGAGCATAAAATATAATTGACTTTGGAAATTTTGAACACATGCCTAACAGCAAATTGTTAAGATGTCCAAGTGTCGACAGCAAGTATTGTAGTAGTTTCAGATGAGTGGAACTTATAATAATCTTACAGTTTTTCTTAACCTTTTGCATACCAGGATCTGATTAAACTGGCTCAGGGTACTTGCAATAGAAGCACCATAGCCAAAGAAGTCTGCTTGTTGTGAAACAGCTACTACAGCATTTCTTTTAGTAGATTGGATCAAGTGTGACATCGATGTTTAGAGGAAACAGCAGGCTTTCGCATAATGTACACCTGCTGGTGTTTTAAGGTCATCTGAGGAAGTATTGTGGATTTACTGTACCACTGTATTTACTTCCAAGCAGCCCTGGCATTTCTAGCAGGTCTGTGGTGGAGCTTGGCAGGCAAAGGGTTAAGAAAGAGAAGGCCAAAAAGAGAACTTGGTTCAGACATTAAGATCCTGGGCTTATAACAGAATGAAGTTTTTGTCACACACATGAATTTGAATATATCAAGTTTTACAGTTTCTGATATGTTTAAGATAATTTTGTGTGAATATACAGGGCATACAGTAGCATGGCTGGTTGAGGCACACTATGCTGCAAGCCAGAAGGTCACAGGTCCAGTTCCCATTGAGGTCATTGAATTTTTCAATTCACCTAATCTTTCCAGCCACACTATGGTCCTGGGGCCAACTCAGCCTCTAACAGAAATGAGTACCATGAATCTTCCTGGGAGTAAAGTGCGGCCAGAGCATGAGGTTGATAACCTCACCACCATCTGTGAGCCAGTTGTCTAGCAAATGTGGGAACCTCGACATCTGACAACCCTGCGGCCCTCCATGGCCAGTTTCAGGGATAGCTTTGTCTTTTTTTGTGTATATGCACACATTAGAAATAATCTTCAATTTCATGTACTTTTCTGAATCATTGAAACAAATAAAAATTGAAAGTGGGGATTATTTAAGAAAATATGTTTGTTCTGTTTGTTATTACAAAGACCTGTAGATAGAAATATAAGAAACTGTTTTTCATAATTATGAAAAATTACTCGTTTTCCATTTATTTAACACATTTTTAATTTCTTGCAGTTCAGACCATTGTACTGTTTGTATTTGTATGATTTGTATTAACACATTGGACACATGTCATGAGGATTCTTACATTTTTCATTTTAGTTGGTTGTAAAGGTAATGAAAAACCTTTATTTACTAGATGTTCTGTATTATGTTTATTGATGGACTTCAGATGCTAATATCTACATCATTTGTGAGCAGAGACTTTTGCCACTGTCTTCACTTAATGACACATTTCTTTATCATTTGGTGTAGTATGTATACTTTTAAAATGGTCTGGAATTTGCTTGTATATCAGACATGCTTCTTGTCTTCATTATGTCGAATTCAGTAAAACCTTGGTAATCTGAGATTAGTAGAAGTAGTAATATGCTGAAAGGAAATCATTTCTGTATTTTTCTTGCCCCATTCCCTGAACAACTTTTTTAGAGAACATGAACAGAAAGGGATGGAGGGGAGGAACCTCGTTTTTTTTTTTTTTTTTTTTGTTTTANAAGTGTCACGAGGTGCTGAGATCAGTTTGACTCATAAGCAGCTGTAACTGAGCATACTGATCAACTGTGTGAGCAGGAATCTGTGGTTTAAGTCTGTCTGAAATTTCCCAAATGGCATATTCAGTTTTAAGGTCTATACTAGTGTAAGTTTTTGATAGTTTCTTCTTGGGATTTTTCCATTTTAATACTCCCCAATTATTGACCATTCCAGCACTCCTCCCTTCAAATTCTAATTGTATGATTTTGCCCTCTCCCTTTTCATGTTTTCCAGTTTACAGACAATGAATTAGTTGTTTAACCATCTATGCTTCGAGTTCCAGAGGATCAAATTTATAAAAGGACTCAACTCCATGCACATTGTTTTGTTTAAAGTTCATAATTATGAACCCTTGTGTAACCAGACTTGTAGCAGATCACAGCTTCTTTGCCCTCTAGATTGGGTGCAAAATTTGGTGTGTAGCAGTTCAAACTATCTTTCTGTTTATCAGGTTGGATGTAATTATCAGAATAGCTGCTGAACTAGAAGGTGCTTGGGAAGGGTAATTGGACTGCATGATATGGAGGTTAGGTATGATCCCAGGTATCAGTCATTAAATGGTCATAACACGACTTGTAGAACATGTCTTTTTTGTTTGCATCCTGTTGTGTGTCATGATTTGTGATACTCTGGCCATCAGCACAACAGATATTTAAAAATAAACCAGTGTAGATGGTGTGTGTAACTTGCCACACTCAGAAAGACCCTTCACTTCCTGAATATTTCTTTCCTTGATGACAGACTAGAACTCAAGTTTGTCTGGTGTTGAAGACTACCACCTTTTCACTGACAAATGTTATAGTTGTGTTCAGTTGGCCCAAGAATTTGACAATCGGAAATGCCACACAATTGGCCCTATTATTGCTGGTAGAGTTGGGAGCCTCAATGTCTGATAAACCTATGGAACTCCATGGGCTATTACAGGAATAATTTTACCTTTTTTTTTTTCATTGCAATAAGAGAGTTACCATGTATTTTCTTCAGGAAACACCACAGGTGACAGAGTGGTCTCTATGGAGTGTTCTCCATGAAGTAACATTGTTATGTGATAGTTAGCGGAATAGGGGCTTGGACTGGAAACTGAACTTAACAGATGCTTATAATTCATTTACAAATAATTTTAACACTGTTACCGGTCTCCATACTTTAAAAAGCACTTACTGCAAACATTGAGTCTTCTATGTTTTCACTAGTCATTTCTTTGTATCAGTGTCTAACAATGTAACTCATCACTTTAATCACCAATTCCAACCTCCGGATCCTGGCTGTTGACTCCAGAGTCATGACTGTAGACTTGGCTGGTGTCCTCATTAAATAACTTCGACACCAACAGCACAGGAAACATGGCTTCAAAGAAGTCCTGCACTGTTGAGCAACATGTTAAATGGGCTGTTGCATAGTA